TTTATCATTATCATCAATGATTTCAATGAACCTACCTATTTGTGAAGATACTAATCAGCCTGATTTACACTATTATAATTTGGATGACAGGCCTGATTATTTTCACCATTCTGCAACTGATGGGGGTATCAGGAGAATGTATCCCTTGTACTCTGAGGTCAGGGAGGGAAAGCTAAATGGGGTACTGAGTGGTGATATTTATTATGCAGTGTTATCAGTGTTGATAGTTTTCAATCAGATGAATGAAAATGCTCTGGAAAGAATGTGGTGTCAGTAGCTGAGAGAAACAGTTATCAAGATGATTTAGGGCATAATTTCTAGAACTTTTCCTGGACCTTGGTGAGATCTATGCAGTTCTTGGAACATTTGCAGTTTTGGGATTCAGGGACCAGTAGTCATTCTATAGCACACAACACTCTGATGGAAACATTCGTAAGGCACACAAGGTGACAGTGAATATGAGTTTTCATATCTCAGTGCAAATTTTCAGTGCAATGTTGGGAGAATTTTGCCATAAGAATAAACTATTTATAGAGTTGGCTGGCCTCTTCCTTTTAGAAAAAAAAAAAAAAATCAGTGTCTGTACAATTGAAATTTTCTGCTAGAATTGTATTTTTGTTTTACTTTTGCTTCTTTAAACGAAATACTTACCTTAGGGAAGGAGAATGAAATATTTAATTTTGAAATAATTTGACCTGAGGTTAACTATTCTGATTTTTGTTTAACTGGCTTTTTCTTTCAAAGAATCCTTTTCTTTTAAAGAATAATGAGAAATTGAACTTCCTTTGTGGTACTTTGCTTTTTCAAATTTGAATTCCCATTCTCTCCTATGGTCTGATAAAAATACTTCATCTTCCATAATGTAATCAGATTATTATCCACATAGTGCATCATGAGAGTCACATAACTGAGTGAATTTGAGGAGCTGTATTTTTTCCAGGGATCTAGACTCATGGAAGATAATGGGAACATTCATCTCTCCATTTGTCTGCATCAGATTCTATGGCAAATCTTGGGGTGGCTGCAGATGTCACCCACCATAGCTTCTATCCCAGGGCTGCCACCACTCACCCCCAGTGTAGCATGCCCCCCACCACCACCGGAAGAGCCGGGCACAGCCCCGGCCCTGGCCCCAGCCCGCAGCAGCAGTCCTCCCTGCCCCGCACAAATTGCAGGCACACGCACCCCATGCCTCCCAGGGCTCAGGTAGTACCAGGAGCCAAACCCCCAGATGAGCTACTCAGTGCCTGCCACTACCTCCAACCCACCCCACCTCACTCCTACTGCAGCCTCCAGAAGCCCTTGGCCGGGCTTCCTAGTGGCCCTACTGCTGCCCTACGTTTGCAGGGGCTAAGCCCCATTAGTCCCCCCTTTCCACTGGCTATGTGTGTGATGAAGATAAAATTCCATTTAATATTTTATGGACTCAAAAATTCTCCATTTGAATTTGTTTAATGAACATTTCAAGTTGGGAATTTGAATATTTTGGACTGAAACTTTGGGGGATGGAGCTTCTGCAACTTCTCTAGGTAGGTGGCCTGTTCCAATGTCTGACTATCTTAATAGTCAGAAAGTTCCTCCTAATCTCTAGTCTAAATGTCCTTTGCTGAAGGTTGAATCCTTTTCTCCTAGTTCTTTCCCCTATGGCCCTAAAGAAAAGCCCATCTTCTGTATAATCAGCCTTCATATATTTGAAGACTGTTATCAAATGCCCCCTCAGTGTTCTCTTCTACAGACTAAATCATCCTAGTTCTTTCACCTTTTCTCATCAGTCTTGCCTCCCAGGTCCCTGATCATCTTGTTGCTCTGTGTTGGACTCTTCCCAAACTAAACCCATCCCTCTTGAAGTGCAAGGCCCAAAACTGGACATACTACTCCAGGTGAGGCCTCAGAAGTGCTGAATAGAATGGCAGAATCACTTCCGTTGATTTGCAAGTGATTTACTGTTAATAAAATGCAGTATGCTGTATCTTTTTTTTGCAACAAAAGCACACTGTTTTCAGGCCTATATTCAGTTTATGGTCTATTGTAACCACAACTTCCTTCTCTGCGGTACTGAGTATAAATATAAAACGCTGAGTATTTATTCAGTACTTAGCCAGTCATTCCCCAGTTTGTATTTGTGCCTTCACTTTTCCATCCCAAGGGCAGAACTTTGCACTTGTCCTTGTTGAATCTCATCTGATTGATTACAGACCTTTTTTTGCAGTCTACCTGGGTCATTCTAGATCCCAGCACTACCCCTTGTAGTATCTACAACTCCCCCAAAATTGGTGTCTTTAGAAATTTTAGTGTATACTCAATCCTATTGTTCAAATAATTAATGAAGATATAAAAAAAAAACCCCAAAACACAAAACAAAACAAACAAACAAAAAACACTGGACCCAGGACAGACCTTTGGGGAACACTACTTGATACCTCCTTCCAAAGAGACATTGAGCCATTGAGCACAATTATACAACCTGTTATGAATCCACCTTACAATACTAGACTGTATGTATTCACTTAGCTTGTTAATAAGAACTTCATGATAGACAGTGTCAAAAGTCTTGCTAAAGTCAAGGTATATCACATCCACTATTCTCTCCCAATCTACAGAGTCTTTCACCTTATCATAGAAAGAAATTAGGTTGGTTAGGAATGACTTGTTCAAGGTGAATATGTGCTGGCTTTCCCTGATTACCTTGGGGTTTTTTTTAGGTGCTTCACAATAGAATCTTTGAGGAGCTGCTCCATGATCTTTCCATGTATTAAGGTCAGGTTGACTGGTGAGTAGTTCCCTGGATCCTCCTCCTTCCCCTTCTTAATTATATATATGTATATCTATATATTATTCTCTCTCTATATCTATCTATCTATCTCAAATATTACATTAACATTTATGAAGACAGTTTCATAAAACCAGTCAAATGTAACAAATACACATAATAAATCATCATAGTGATCTAGACAGGCTTTCATATGGCCACCATTTATGTGGTCTCTCAACATGTCCCAACCCTGTGAGGAAACAAAGTATTATCTACATTTTACAAATGAAGAATAGAAGCACAGCCAACTTACCCAACCTGCTCAAGGATGCAAAAAAAATCTGTGGCAGAACCAGGAATTGATTCCAAATCAAATCCACTGTGACCCAATGCTACACATTAAGTACCACGCTAGACTAGATTATCAAGCAATGTACGTTATTGTCCTCCCTCTGCCATCTCCCTTTTCAGGTTTTATTTATACTCATCATCCTGAAAACTCTCTCTAATGTTTCTAATTTTATGTATTTCATAATATGCTTCTGGTCCTAATTTTGTTTTCATATATTACTAACATTTTCATATCTATTATTATAATAATCTTATAAATTTCTAAATAAAAAAGAACCTATTTAAATGTTTCAGCTTTAAAAGAACTTAAATAATACCAAGAATAGCTACATACAATATAAGATTAAAAGCAATCTTGTTTGGAAATGTTTAGTCATTAAAATGTCTTGTTACAGTTTACCGTATAATGTATGTATAAGTAGACTTTGCAGGTGTTGAGAATGACTATGTCTGAGTTTGGCTTCCACTCAGCAGGGATGAATATACAAATGGGCTGTTTGACTTGGTGTTGATTTGTGAAAAAAAAAAGTCACTAATGAACTAATCTCTTTGTGACATCAAAATAGGAAGTCATGTTCACTGAGGGCCAGGTGCTTTTTCCCCTTCATGTACCTAAGTGCTACTTACATAGTTGAGAGAGTTAGACACTTATGCTATTCTGAAGTCAGGCAGATTTGCACCGTATAGACTAAATCAGAGGTGCATAGCATAAGCTTTCATAAGCTGCAGGTTTACATCATCAGATGCTGTCTAATGCAACATCTGTCCCATCACAGCACCAGATGAAGTAAGCCTGGTGCTTAAAAAACTTATGCTATGCATCTCTGATTTACCTATGTAAATCAACTGCAACTTTTGGCATTTATACATAGTTTCTGATTCAGTATAGCTATACCTACCAGTTCTACCCTCTTGCATATGTTTTGTAGGCAGCATACTAGCTATGTAGACCCCCTAGAGGGGAATAGAATTGTGTAGGCATGTGTGTAAGGCTGGGTAAGTCCCAAAACTTTAGTGACATAATCCCCACCCCCGCAAAAAAACCCAAAAAAACCCAACCCTCCCCCCCCAATGTAACTAATAGGTGTTAGATAAAAGAGTCAGCAACCCTCCTACCTTTTAAATGAATAGCTTAATGGTTAGGGCAGTTAAGGAGTAGAAGACCCAGGCTCCTGTTGGCACCTGTATCTCCTGATCCACAGAGCAATGTTCTAGCCACAATTCCAGATGCAACAACAGAGTATCCACTAGGGCACATAGGATAAGCTTACACAATGCAAAGCAGAATAGGTACCCCATCCCAACTGACCTGTTAAACCTCAACTACTGGAAAGGAAGAAGTGCATGATCCATGGCACCACAAAGTAGGCAAACAAAAGGGAGCCAGGCTTTGCAGGAAGGGTTTCAGTTCTGCTACTTGCATGGTTTATGCATTTTATATTAGATTGTCACTGGTTTAAAAAAAAAAAAAAAAAGAAAGAACTATAGCAGCAAGGGCTAGAACTCAGGACTCCTCTCCCCTCTTCCTCCAATCCAGCTTTAATAATAAGTTACAGAATAGCCTCTTGCTTGTTCACCTTAAGGTTAGAGTAACCATACGGGACAATGTGAAATCTGGAACACTATCCCCCCTGCTCCCCTTGGGCTGGAGGGGAGGGAAGGACAGGGACAGTGGTGCCCTACACCACTCTTCAGGCAGATAAGGAGTCAATGGCCCATTAATGACCCATTGCTTTTTACTTCACAGGTGTTTATAATCCCCTTTTAAATGGTCATTCCATTAATCAAGCTAACCAATCAGGGCAGTTAGGGCAATTTTGCTGTTCTCTGTGGCTTCTTATTTCATAGCTCATGCCCAGGATGCTTGTTTTAATTTTCACTGGCTGGCTGGGATTGGCCTTTGAAATCCTGGACTATCCCATCCAATCCTGGACATATGGTCACTCTGCTTAAGGGCTCCTCTGAGTAGTTAGGCCCTGTTGCATCTTATAGCTTGCAATGGGAGTTAGGTGGGAATTATTTGCCTACCTGCTCATTCTGGGATGCTTCTACACATGCATCAAGTCTCTGTGTAAGTGACTAAAGATCTTCTCAGATGACAGTTTAGGTGTGTATGATATTTTGTGGCCACTAGTTTGGGTTATTCTGGATTGTTTCTTTCTGATGGGGATACCTAAATTCTCCCTGAGTTCCACTTAGGCTTCTAATTTGCCAATCTGGATTTAGCCCTAAATTCAAATTCAGTTTCAGATGGCATTTTTATGCCTAATTACTGAATGATTTGTCATAATAAAAATACTGTCAAATTATTATGTATACTATACATAGATATATGTATATTTATATACAGAAACTTTTGAAAAACATAAATTAATGTATAATATACATATAGACCCTTTTTATGATCACTGTTGACTGCATATTTACACCTATTTCAAATACCTTTTCAACTGTAAACTGTTATCTTTGGAGTCTGGATTTAAACTGGACTCGATGATCTTCTGAGGTCCCTTCCAGCCCTAATGTCTATGAAACCAGATCCCAAGTGCGGTGGACAATGTTGGGTTTTCTTTTGTTTTGTCTTGTTGTGGAGCTGAGGCTTGTATGCATGTAAAGTCACAAATCCTCTTCCTAAGGCTGCTGTAAGTAGATTTATCTAGCATTAGACTAGTCCCTTCTGTGACCAACCAAAACTAAGTGCTACAATGCAGAGAGCTTGTTTCGGGTAGGGCTAGAGAAGGTACCATGGGTTGCTGCCATGGATTATGTATTGTTTATTCTCAGTTGGATTCTCTGTGGGGTGAAGTTGATTTGCTCCTTTCTTCATAAAATCTGTGTGCTTGTAAAATGTGTGCTTTCAACCACAAAACTCCTATCCAAAAGGCAAGGCAACTTTAGGTAGTGTATTTTATGCAATTCCACACCTGATTCAAAAGTTTGGACACTTTAAGCAAAATAGTTCACAGATGGTTCAAATCCATTGATAATTCAATGTCTGTTTATCTCTTAAATAGATCGAAGCACTGGTAATTAATGTCCTGTGAGATTTGAGAAGGCATATGCACACATTTGTAGATACATTAGTATTTGCTGTCAGTGTTCAAACATTTCCAGTAAAATGAAGTGTGATTTGGAGCATATGTTTCCTGTTCCTTAATTGGTAAATCAGTACCACTGAGGGCAAGATTTGTATGCTGGAAAGAGCTGAAGGATAGCAAGGTAAAGCACTAATTTAATTGACTGTTATCAAAAGTTATATTAGAGGTTGTGCCTGCCTACCTAATAAATGTATCTATCTGTTGTTCATGCCAGTTTTAAGCTATTCAAATCTGCTAAAAGCTAGAGCTGTAAATTTAAAGAATTGGAATAAACAAATTTCACTATAACTACCAAAAAGTTTCCAATATAACAAGTTGATCTTGAGGTTCTTACAAAGGTAATGCTTCCAATAACAATTTAAAACAGCAGTAAAAATAGTCATGTTACATTAGGTGTTGGAAAAGTTTTGTACTTATTAATCTGTATCAATATCACATGAAGGCTAGTCACAATAGCACCAGTAGACTGAGGATAGGGATTATTACATTATCTCTGATCAGACACCCCAGTTCGCTGCCTCTTTCCAGGATCCAGTTTCACAAGTTTTTTTTCAGTCCCAGATTCATGAAGCTTTGGAACAAGTATAGCAGTGACAACATACCATGTGGTAAGCTTTAGGCGATACCTTTAATGGGGTAACTCTATGAACTTTCTAAAAAATTAGCTAGTACACCAAAAAACCTAAGTGTATGGCAATAAGCAACAGAGCTGTTGACAGCAAATGCTTTTATACCTATGGTCCATACAGAAGGCAAGGTAAGTATGCACTTTGTAGATTAAATAAGATATATATATAGAGAGAGAGAGAGAAGATTTTTTTCTGAACTTTAGTTCACATCATCAGATTCTGTGAAAGGACATCATAGAGCATGTGTATACAGTAGAGTGAATAATTTAAATGGGAAAAGAGGGGAGAAAGTAGTGATCTTATCGTCCTTACCATAGTGTTGGTATTTTAGTGGGTCAATGAGGTCGGAGTCTGGCTTTGCTTATTTAAGTAGTTGCAGGTTTTGGATTGTTTTGTAACTGTAGGAATAAAAAAAATAAGCAATGCAGAACACTTAATGGGCATCTGGGATATGCTTTTTTGCTTTTTTTGTGTGTGCGCAATTTCTCATTTGGTTTAATAAAAGGTGTCATTCTGGAACCAAGAGTTCTTGATTTTTGCATTCTTTTTGTCTCAGACCAACACAGCTACTACATACACCCCAGATCCTTAAGGTGTTGATCTCGGTCAGTGGGAACATAGCAGATATGGTTGTAACATAGAGTTTAACTGTAGGCAGTGGATCTATTGGTATGCTTATGGTGAAAGCTAATAGTGTGAAAGTAGCTATGGTGGTTGGTTGGTTTCTGATACAATGTGGTGGGGATATGGCCACTGCAAATCTTTACTGTACTGTCCTAGAAAATTAATCTGCTATGTGGAATATTCCAGAGTTAGTCTGATAGAGGGTGGAAGTTGTTAAAGTCCTGGTGAAGTTTCTCTAGAGATTCCTTCCCATGTGTGCATGTTAGCAAGATTTTGTTGATGTACCTAAGGTAGACTAGGCATATTATTCATAGCCAGAAAAGGAATTTTTATACTCCATACTCACTACTTTTTACAATATTGAATACAACCATTAGAGGAAACACAAGGATATGCAGGGAGGTCTCTGAAAAAATTCTGAGAAAGTGCCTTACAATACTATGCTGAATAGCAAATGAAAAATGGTTAAAACATATAGCAGCTCCTTTTACCTTCACTCACACACACACACACACACACACACACACACACACACACACACACACACACACACAGAATCATCTTTTATGAATCAGTTACATTTGTAAATGACACAATTTATAATTCTGATATTCTTATGTTTTGCTTCCAGCTGAGAAGAGGACGTATCTCCTAGGACCATGCCTGGATTCAAGCTCACTGAGCTGTTTAACCTGAAATCCTTTGGGTTCACCTCCTCTTTAAAACTGACAAAGAAGTAAGTAGCTTGATTTCCATTTTACTAGGACATTAACATTACTTTCAAAAGTCACCAATTCCTGCCTACATTGGTCAGGCTTTCATTTTATATTATATTAACGACAATAACAATAGGTCAGCCCTTAATGCTCTATGCAATTTCTCCTGTATCATTTTAGTTATTTTGTTCAGACCCTAGGAGTAGATGGCAATCATTTGCACTCTGATTATAAGCTATTTTCTTATCTCTGACTTTCTCATAGTAATATATGAGATGGACAAATACAATGTATAAGTAATAAGTATGGGATGAAATTTCACAATGTCCTTATTGACCTCCTGTTGTTTTTCTTCTCTCTCTCTCTCTCTCTCTCTCTCTAGTTTTCTTGTGTAGAAATATTGTTCATTTAGAATATCTTTTATTTATTCTTTCTTAGTCTCTTTAAAGACTGAAAGTATTCAGTGTTCTAAAATATAGATATTACTGATATAAAATAGTGATTTGTATGTAAACTTACAGGATGTATAAAGGTTTATTTCCATGACTCCTTTTCTTAGTGCTGCATAGTCAGATGCATCTTAGTGCTGCATAGTCAGAAGCAACCATAGGCTTGTAAAATGGATCTAATTGATGTGTATGTCCTATATTGGTAGCATACTACTGTATATTGGTAGCACTTTCTATGATTCTATGTGTACATGGCACGGTCCAATGCCTTGTAAGACATCAAAGCTAGCTTGGGTAAAAGAAGCAGTATAATTATGAAAGCACAACACTCTGCCAAGACTAAAATAGCTTGAATCCTAGCAAAGCTAACTAGCTCCAGAAGAATGCTGCACTAGGGTGAATATGTTACATCCAGTGCCTGAGCTAGGTAGTTCAAATCTAATATATCTACAGGGCACTGGATTTATAGTATTTAGACATACACAGGGTTGCCCCGCCCCCTGCCCTGGAGAGAAGGGGCCTCAGGGTATGGTAAGTGGCAGGGGCCATGGTATCCATGGGCACCCATGCATGCAGGGGCACCTGCCATGCAGGGGCAGCATCCAGTTAGGTAGTTCAAATCTAGAAGGAGCTGGAGCTGCTGGCGGTTGGTGGTGATATGGCCAGCAAGGCCTTGTGACTGGGGCTGAGGTTGCAGAACTGGTGGGGCAGGCACTGGCCTGGGCTCCCTGAGCTGCTGGAGGACACTAGGGGCAAGGAGCTTGGTAGGCAGCTGCTGCTGGCCCAAGTGGCCCTCCTCCAGTGACATGTCACCAGAGTTGCCAGGCCATAGCTGGGGCTTGGGCAAGCTGCCTGTACTGCAATACACAGCATGGCTGTGGCCTGAGCTCTGGGGCATGGGGATGGCATCCAGTTGCTGCATGAAGGGTGTGGACTTGCGCCCAATGGTTGTGATATGTGATGGTGACCCACTCTGCCCACAAGGGCTTGACCTTTATGTGGTACTGCCATGATGACTGGTTGTGCCTGTGCTTCTGCGTTTGGCCTGACAGCCCCTCATAAACACACACATTGAAGTGACCACCCTGTGCAACCTTCTCTGCACCTCAGCCTTGCCCCACAGTGCCATGAGGTCCCCAGTCTCTTCCTGTGACCAGCTGGGGCCCCGGGAGGTAGCATGTGGCATTGGCAAGGACACCATCATGGCTTCCATGATGGCTCTCTGGGCCTTCATGCGGTTGTCCTGGTGTTGCTGGGCCTGCGTAGCTGTCTGCAGTATCCAGTACAGGGGCAGAGCATGGGACTAGAAGCCATGTGGTGAGGTACCCATGCAGCACCTGCATGGTTAGGGCAGGCAGCTAGGCCTGGATGCTGGCAGGAGCTTACTACAGCCTGCAGGGCTGGATGGCACAGCCCTGGCAGCCATGTGACACTATGGTGCCAGGAAGTGGACACAGGGTGCAGGCAGGCTGGCACAGCTGGTTTGCAGTCTGTGCAGGGGCATAGCGGCCAAGTGTGGCCACAGGCTGCCTGCACATGCTCCAGGGCTCCCAGTGCCTGCAGGCTTTTAAGGGCTTGGGGCTGGGGCTGCCAGGGAGCTTGCCCAGTCCTGTGGCAGGAGAGGCTCATAGCCTCAGAGCCTAGGGGCTAGCCTGAGGCTGGCCCCCTAGTGGCAGGTGTCTACACATGGTTGGTGTCTACACATGCACTACTGTGCAATAACTACTTACAAATAAGTTTACTATTTGCATTTTCAAGTAGAAAATTTACTTGTGAGTAGAGTAGTTGACTGCACAGGAAACAGGTGCACATGTGCATGCTTACTGCACAGTAAACTGCTCTACTGTGCAGTAAAACACCTCATGTAGATGAACCCTGAGAAGTGTCTCTCTAGCTCTTGGTCTCAGAGGGCTTTGCATGACTGCTCTTTCTAGAATTCAGAGATGTCTCTATGTGTTTATCCAAGTAGAGTTGTTCAAAAGAAGTGCAATTCAATTTTCAAGTAATTTTAGTATTTCAAAATTTATTGATATTTTGAAAAATAAAAATCAGCAATCTCAAAATTATGTGTGAAAAGGAAAACCCTGGGTTTGTACATCTGAGGTAGTGCAACTGGATGACAGCCAAGGAATCTGAAAGCCTCAGGAGGCTTTAATTTTGGAGCAGTGCACTTACCTGACTGAACCAGAGTTGTGGATAGTGGAGGAGCAATTCTATTTCCCTTGAACCACCACGCCATGGGCTAGGTATTATCTGGCCCTCTCTCCACTGCTTCTTTTGAAGCTGTGTCTTGCATTTAAGAAAATGCAAGGACAGCAGTGCATCAAAGACAACTTGTGTCTGGCCAACTTGATTTCCTTCTATGAAAGATGACAGGCTGTATGGACAGGACGAGATCAGTGAATGGTGATACACCTGGATGGAAAATGGCTCGATAGCAAGTGGCCTCTCCCATGTTTTAGCTCCAGTACTTTAGTAGTTAGGGCATTCACCCAGAAATTGAAAACCTGGATTTAAGGGAAATAGAAATCTGCCCTGGAAACACTGGGAGCACAAAGAGCCTTAAACCCCCAGTACCCTATGGGCTACCAAATAACCAAGGCTCTCCAAGCCATTATATAACAAGGGACATTGAACTGTCCGCAGAAAATATTTAAACAATGCTTCCCTGTTGCAGGTTTATCAGGCTTAGCCTCTAGAAAGGATAGTAGCTCCTAGTATAAAACAAGTACATAAGCTTAAAAAACTAGAAAAGAGGAAAGAAACAAATGAGCAGAGAATTCAGGACTCTAGACCACAACATAAAGAGGAGTGGAGGGAGGAAAAGTCCAGTCAATGGGTAATGGTGCAAGGAATGTGGGAAACAAAGTTGCTTTATGTCCCAATGCCACAACTTCCCCAGAAGCAAACAAACAAAAAACAAACAAAAAAGCCCCAACAGTACATGAAGTGATTGGATCAATGACCAATTTTCTTTCAGCTGGATTATGGAGCTTGCTATGATGAGATCCTAGCAACTCAGATAAGCAGCAATATTAGAGTGGAGAAATGTGACCAAGTACTTATGATATAGAATAAAACCATTTTGAAGACAGTGGACAAATGCAAACTGTCAATAAGAAACCCACAAAACAAATCAGGAGTTATTATGGCATGGAGAGGATAGTAACTGACACAAAAAAGTTCCATCCATTGCCAGGCAGCAGAGTAATTCAGACTTTGGATCTGATCACAGTACAAAACATAGAGTACACACCTCAGTATGAAAGAGGAGAGTGATATCCCAGCATTCTAATAGAAAATGAAGAAATATTGCTAGGAAATGGGCATTAAGAGTGCAAGCTGCAGCTGGAAATAGAATACCATGATGCTACCAAAACATAGCAGGAACTGCTAAGCCTGCAATGGGGAGGCACCGTTATATCTTTTGAGACTATCACAGAGTAGATCAGCAACCTAGCAGTTATGGGAAAACCTTCAGGCACTGCACTGATCCTTCTGCGTTGATCTAAAACCACTTAACAGAGCTTTCAAAAAAAGTCACTTCCCATTATCAGTGATTGAGAACTTTTTACCTGATTTATCTGGGGCAAAAATGTGATCTTTAGAATGAGTTTTGGCATATTGACCCAGATGAGCCATTCAAGCACCTGACAACCTTTGCATACCTTTTGGCAGGCATGTATATACATCAACTGAGATGTTCAAATGTAATGCGCTAGTGAGACTTGCAACATCAAGCTTAAAGCTGATGTCATTCTTCTTATAGGAGAAAGAAGAAGGTAATTTCAAGGAAAAGAAGAGATGGTCTGTCTGGCTATCATAGGATTATAAGAAAGTAGGGCTGTAAGGGACCTGTCAAGGTCATCTAATTCAGTTCCCTGGTCAAGGCAGGATCATCCCTACCTAATTCATCCTAGTCAAGTGTCTGTACAAACTGCTCTTGAAAATTTCCAGAGATGGAGATTCCACTGCTTCTCTAGGTAGCCTGTTCCAATGCTTAACCACACACACAGTCAGAAAGTTTCTGCTAATCGCCAACCTGAAATTCCTCTGCTACAGCTTGAAGCCATTGCTCCTAGTCCTGTCCCTTATGGTCACAAAAACGCTCACTTCCATCCTCTCTGTAACTACAAGTCAGTTATTTGAAGGCTGTTTTTGAATTCCCCTCACTCTTTTCCCCCCCCCCCCTCAATCTTCTGAGGATGACATTCATATGTCATAACCTGGCAGATGCACAGTTATGTCAGTTGTTCACTAGGGTGTCTTTTTCCTGATAAACTCAGGTAGGAAGCAGATTAGAAGCATCTCCTAAAGAAGCAGGGGAGTAAGTTTGGACTCCTATTATTTTATGTCTGCTAATGGACAATATGAAGACAATATCTCCTTTTCTTAATTACCATACAAAGGAAGAGGAGCAGGATAACTACAAAGGTGCTGGGTACTGTTGGCACTGGATTTATGACCCAAATACCTTGTTTTGAGTGGACTGAAACCCTTAGACTGACCATGGCCTCTCCTTCAATAATAGGCAAATGTTATTGATACACAGTGATAGCAGATAACAACAA